GGCAATGGGGGAGGGGAGTGTCGAGATTTCATGTCCAATGAAAGAACATAAACACCTCACATATCTAGAAACAAAGGGAAATGCCGCTGAGCAAAGTTCAATGAAGTTCGTATTTAATAACACTGGTAATGTGATTTTGAGGCTTGGATGGGGAACTTTTCAGAAACCCAGCATTTAGCCATGCGATAGCCTGGCCAGATTGCAATAAGACCATGGACAAAACCTACAGGTTAACCCCAGGACGAGAACAGATTTCTTTTGCCGATAAAGTATCAGCGGGTGCTAACTTAGTTGGGGGGGGGCCACGCGGCGGCGCGGCAGTCTGCTCGCCTGGCATGTTCGGAAATCCGTGGGCCAGGGGGAGTGTAGGCAGTCTAGGGGGTGGGGGGTGGGGCAGTCACTTGACATGCGTGAAAAGCTGGAATGTTCGAGTTTACACTGTCTCGCTCGAGAGAGCCCAGGTGAGCAGACTGCCGCGCCGCCGCGTGGCCCCCCCCCAACTAAGTTAGCACCACCCAATCCCATGTAAAATCCATTTGAACTTCGTAACATTCGCCACACGAGCTAAATTTCTGACATGACATTTCGTAGTTCTTCGTTCACGAGGACCAGTAAACACAGTTTTCGACGATTTTTAAACGGCTCACTTCGCACTTGTGCTTCTCTGTTAATGTGTAAAAACCGAATCAATTTGGTCATGAAGTTTGTTTCTGAACTGAAGAATTGAAAAGAGAAGCTAAAACTCTAAGGACAGAGCTGGGTGTATTCGCAACCGGTATACAGATTGTAGCATCACTGAGATAGCGATATCAACATCAGGAATAGATGAATCCGTGACCGAGCAAGAATAGTCTGTTTAATGAATGGGTTACCACGCTTAGATGCATGAAAAGTCAAGAATCAACACCGTATTGGTGAGATGTTCAAATTTTGCTCAACATCATTGTTCTCTTTGCAAAAGGCAGGGTCGTCGATACATTTGCCACTACCCTACTTCTGTTTTTCCTTCAATCACGCGGTATTAAATTTCTATTTCTATCGGCTAGTATCTCGCAGCTCTTACGACTACCTCTCGAATAGATTGGGAGGTAGAAATTGAAAATTGATACTGTACGATTGCATTAATTCGTAACCAACAGTGGTTATCTATTTTCCTTTAAAACTGACCATGATGAGTTCATTGTCCATTTCTCTTCCCTTGCTCTTCTTTACGAAAAAGCTCTTTGCCCTTTCCATCAGGTGTCTTATGTAGAGTTACTAACAAATGATAGGCAATATCACGGTCAATTCCAATGAAAACTGATGCTGTCCCAAATCAGGCCATCTTGATTGATCACGCTTTGTGCGACGCCGCAGAAGGTTATCAGCTCAAGGTGAAATAAAACAAGGCATGTTTTCGAATCTTTAAACCTTCTTGGAATCATTCGATACAGGAGATTTTATAGTCGGTCGTTCTGTCGTAACGATCGTATAGCATTACATTGGAACCAATCTTTCGATCGTTGCAATAGGACGCGTCGGGGATTCGATCGATACGTATAATGCTGTGCGATCGTTACTACATGACGACAGACCATGAACGCTCCCTTTGACATGACAAAGTAATTTTTACCATTCTGAAATCCCAAAAATGCGAAATCATTAAGCTAAGTTTGTTCGGTGAGCGTCTCTACACTAACCTCAACCAGCCTGTTTCAAAATATCTTTTGAGCTAGCCAAAATCCCATAGCGAATAGCCCTGCTGCTTGTCAAATGCAGCTGCAGGACTTCCTTAATCACAGAATCCTTCACCAACAAAATCAACCACGTATGCACGAAGCGCAAAATATTTGAGTGGGATTTCGGACCTATGGTAGATCTAGAGTACGTTTCCGCGTCTCGACGCTTACCAATTTGAGGAAAAATGAACTCACCTTGAATTTATTCTCAGCTCCAGGCTCCTTGTTTTTGTCTGGATGAAACTTCAAAGCCATTTTTCGGTAAGCCTTCTTGATTTCATCGTCACTAGCTCCTTTTGCTACTCCAAGGATCTTGTAGTAATCCTTTCCCATTATTGCGAGTAATTTTCTCTGAACAGCGCTCATTACTAACCATGAACAAACTTGCTGTAAAAGGGCATGAGAAACCAAATGAAGTTGCAATTCCTCAAATTTACATGTAAAAGAAAGAACAATAGAACAATCTCTCTAATAAGAATACAGCACATGAAAATATTTAAATATAACTTCAAGCTTATCAAAAAAGTGAAAGAACAATCACCAGCACAACAACACTACAGCTGAACGCGTGCCGATATTATTGGGCGTTGACCACGGCTAGCGCTCTAGAATGTTCGCGGAGTTTCTCCACGCTCCCTTCACGAAATTCATGTTCGATCTTCCGCTTCCTATGACAACATGCGCATAGTTTGGATGTGCGTTGCGTGTGGTAAAACGCAAGCTGGGGCATTGTTATTGCCGTGTCGTTGTTCGAGTCAATGTAAAGAACGCAAGAAATGTAAACTTTGAGAAAACACCGGTTAGGATCCACTACTATTGCAATAAGCTGAAAAAGGCTTTGCATTATCATGCTTCTTGGAACTTCATATTAAGACAATGCTCCGAGAAAGCACAATCATAGGCTGGTTCATTTCACCAGTCAATTCCTCTGATGTTTCTTCAGGTGGTGAAGCTCGCTGCATATTTTTTTTTACATTTTTCACATTTCACAGAAAACGAATAGAGTGATACGTGTTCTCCTGAGTTATTTCAGCGTGTGCTTTTTTTAAGTACAGTGAAGTAGCATGACCGCGAAATTTCTGCTCACCACCAGGCTTTTGAATCCAGACTTGGCGCTGCTCATTAGACAAGTTCGTATTCTTCTTTTTGACCTCTTTCTTCTTCGTGTTCCTTTGCTTTAAGAAGCTTTTCTTGTTTTCTGTGCTGCTATACAAAGCGTTAGCCGTAGCAACTAGCTAGTCCCTGAACTTACTTCAGGAAAACGACTGGTTGTAACTTAGTGACAGCTATCTGATGAATTGAGTCAACTGTTCTGATTTGAACTTGTGGTACTAAGAATCAGATAGGCCGATTGGTAAGAAAAATTCTCTCCGTTTTGAGTGTTTGTATCTGAAACATGCAAGTCTGGTGAAATCCAACGGGTTTATTGGAAGCAAAAACCTTATGGTCGCCATACTATTCACAACATTCTCGGTACAACCGTAGCCCATTCCTACCAAAATTCAAATTTTTGGTGTTTGATAGTAGAAAATTGATTTCGATATCCTTTTCTCAAAGAGATTTCTCCCTCAAAAAAAGGTAGTTCATCAGAGATATACCTAAGTGGATAAGCACTATGAGGATGGTTTAAGAATTTCAAACCTTTTCTAACAATTTCTGCTTCTGCACGGTGCATTTTGCATTGTGCCATTTGGTGCAAAAAGAATCAATCCTTTCGTTTTTCTGGATAGGGCTTTATCTCAATTTCTTGTGCACTATCTCATTTCTTAACGGTGGCATTCCGCCCGGTCGATTGACCTGTTCTTATCAACCAAGCCTCGATGTCCACCACCAATATCATTGATACCACAATAAGAAGATCCGTTGGCTCATAGATTGTCAAGTCCTTATAGTCTTCCAGTTTGACACCCCTTTTTTCACTAGCGTGTAGAGCCCTAGTTTCGTTTTTCGGTATTATCTGCTCCGAAAAAGACTTTTCTCGCTGCGGTGAAGAATCGAAGCATCAAAGACTGAGCTATACTACTACACTGCGTTTCATAAATATAGGTCCACCCTAAATTTTTGCTATTCCAAAGTTGCTGTGCATTTTTGGAAAATGCCGCTATTACCAATAGTTTCCCCATAACGAAAAACCTTGATACTGATTTCTGGAGAAATCTCGATTCAGAATTATTAAAATATCTTTTTTAGAACGTATTTTCACCGTTTCGCAAATATGACTACACATCACTTGTCGAGAGATTTTATTATAACAAAAAAACGTCACAAATTTTCAATAATGGGATGGTCCTCCATAATCATAAGGAACACAATAATACGTTTTGGAATGCTGGTAACCAAATTAGCTATTACAGTAGGATCGAAATTTGTCTGGCGCCGATGATCGACGTTTTCAGCTCTTCGGCTGTTCCATTTTGCTTTACTTTGCTGTGGAACTTTATAACAATTAAGGCCCAATGATTCTCTATTGGAATCTGATTCAGATAACATGGTGGCCACCAGATAACTGCCACATTTTTTCCTGCAATTCCATCTGGCGTGGAAGGACCGGCATGGACAGCCGCGTTATCGTGCGTAAAAATCAAGGATCGAGGGGGCTGTTGTCGAAAAATGGTAAAAGTCGCTTCAGAAGAACTTCACGATACCCTATGGAATCCTGTGAAAGGAAACAAATACGAGCTCTAGCCGCTCAGTCGTTCAAAGGTGCCTCAAACCATAAGGAATTCTCCGCCAAAATTACCTTACTTCGAAACCATCTGCGATTTTCACGGAACCCTCCTGTACCCTCATTTTCCATCAGATCCACTTAGAATAAACTTTTTCACGCCGATTCCAGATCACCCGTAGCATGAAACGAGGAGGTGGAGTCCAAGATCACGAAGGGTCCTGGCAGCCACACCTTCGTTCATTAACTTGAGCCCTTTTCCACCTAGAAATGGAGACGTGCGATCTTGTAGCGCTCAAATAATCTTGGGACGCGCTCTTCTTCAATCCGCTGAAGATGTCATTGCTCTGCTGGCTTATTCACAACACGGTGGTTTTGCTTACGGAAGGCCGCATTTCAGCACGGACTTTGTTCGGACGCCTTATCCAATTCGACAGAAGACGCCCAATTCCTCTTGATTTTCAATGAAACGCTGTCATTATTTACCAAGGCTACTCTTCTTCCCGCACAGACCGGGATTTCGCACATAGTTGCTTATGCATCATGAGCCGGCCGACATGGGAGGCAGTTCTGCTTCTCAGCCATCAAACTTCAGTAAGGGCTCTGGTTTGAGCTTATCACTGGGAAGAGATACGAGTAATACGAGGTATGGCAAACTCGACGTCGACTAAGCTCACATATATCCCCGCTTCCCTCCCTTCACGGATCATGAGAAATGGAAACTTTTTATTAGTGGCCCGATTTTCATGAAACGGTGAAAATTCGTTCTGAAAAAGTTAGTTGGGTTGCTTGAAGGGGGAACTTTGTCAGAAAAACATTATAAAGGTTTTCCGTGATGAGGAATCTAATGGTGATAGCAGCATTTTCAAAAAATGCACAGCAACTTCGGGGTAGCAAAAATTTAGGGTGGACCTATATTTATGAAACGCAGTGTATAGTCTCTAGTTTATATATGGGTACAGTTCGCTCTGTAACAGGTAGCGCCTTGGGTATCATTTCGATCCTCGTATAGGTCTGCACCAGCCTTATGAGCCACCTTTGCTGGTCTTTCGAGGGATCATGCTCGCCAAGTACGTGGGGGGCCGGAAGCGGTCTGGTGGCAAGTGATGCTGCGATCCGGGGATCAAGTACTGGGTCGTGCGCAATCCATATCAATCAGGCCTCCATCCCTATGGGGTGATTAGTTAGTACTTGGCGCGTGCAGGAGGATAGAATGCTAATGGACTCCGAGTGGACCATTGTATTGCGATTGGAGCAATACAATGACCACAAGTCATTTATTGGTCCAATCGCATTCAAAATGCTACTACGATTTTGAGTGGATATAGAGTACGTGGCGCATTCAAAAATGTGGACAAATGCGGAATTCTACTCCTTATCCTTTTCTCCTTCTAAGAGCAGACGTCGCTGAGCATGAACTCACTTCGGCGCATCGTTTTCAAGTTTGACGTAATAAAGTGCCCATAATCCGAAATCACGAATCTCCATGCTCTCAAGGAACTTCTAAGATGATGAAAGGCTCCGAAACTCGCTAAAATTTCGTATCAGGAGAAAGAGCAAATCTTCTTTACAAAACGACAAGAACCTGCACAATGTGCTCTCCAAGCACATGGGAGCCTTTGTTCGCTGCCTTCACATCTTCGGACTCTGCAGCTGATACCTAATTTCTCAGCCGATTCACTAGTGGTCTAACTTATAGAAGGAGTAACTCAAGACCCCTGCCGATCATCATTTCGAACAACGTCGTAGTGGTCCACGATTTGCCTGACGCGCTTGCGCGTCAAGCACCCGCCAAATCGCTCATGTCCCACACGGCGAAAGGAGTCTAACCTGTCCATGTTCGACAGTCTAGCCTGCCCTGTCGTCAATGTCTGAAAGGCACTATCGCGATCGATTTAATGCGTTATTCCGTTTGAAAAAAATATAGAAAGAGGTGTGAAGAGAACCGCCAGTGACGGAGGAAAAAAGGAAAAGGAACCATATGAAACACTGAAATGAAGGGAGAATGCAAAAGAGCCCTTCGTACGAAGAGCATAGATTCTACGTGTGCTGCGACAATAAGAATGGCATCAGTCGCAGCTCAAGACGGAGCAGTGCCTTTGGAGTGCACCTTTGAGTCGCGAGAGTGCTGTGACCCTGCGCTTAGGGACCCTCACCCGAGAAGAGTTCTTCTAAGGATCTATTGGCGACCTTGATCCTCTTATCCAGCTCTCAGTCGTATACTTACAATAGCCAGATTCTCTCCTGGGGCGAAGTGTATGTCCGATAGTCTGTTCTTCCAATTCCAAAAACTTGACAAGCCCCCCCCCCTCTTAGTGACGGTCTCGATAGGACTCTACCCTCCCCACCAGAGTCAACCCTGCGTTGCGCAGTTCGCAACGGCACGTTGAGAGATCCTCAACGCACGCTGTATGGGCGGAGACGCAGACGGCTCGAGCATGCGAGTGTGAATGTTCGCGCGAGAGAACGTGTCTAATCGGGCGAAACTGCGCAACGTGGCCGTTGAGAACTGCGCAACGCAGGGTTGACTCTGTCCCCTACCCCGACCACCACCCTGAGCATCATCATGGCTATTTTTAAGTACGTAACTGGTTTTAAGACCGTTCGGCACGCTCCAACCCGCTCCCTTTTCCCCAAAAATGGCGGTTAAGTAGGGAGGAAGGATTATGCGTGCGGGAAGCGAATATATTTCAAAAAGCAG